TAGCGTGAAATTTATCGAAAATCTAACGTACAGCTGCATTAGTGCATTACAATTAAATAGTAGCATTGCTTTCGACTGGCCTTTAACAACCCAACTAACAATATTTTTTTCTGTTTCAGATTCTGATGCATTTATAAGTTGATAATATTTGCGATGGCTGCTTGTGTCAGGACGAGGAACCCAAAATCCAGCCATCTCAGTCACTATCTTGGGTCTGGGAGAGAGCTCCTGAAGTCGGAGTTTCCTACATTGAGAGATGCTTTGAGATACGGTGTTTTAATCAGGCAAATCAGTGAAAAGAACCAAAGAACTTACACAAACAAAGACATTGTCAGTGATATGACCAAAGCTGTCTTGGCACAGTACACTCTGGCTAACGCTCAGTTCAAGCCTCCAGTCATAACAAGTCAGAAGAAGATTAGTGAGAGACTGTTAGCCAGTTGGGGAAAAAAAGGCAAGAGATATCTCTTGGGGAGAGGAAAACTTGCAGTTAAGGACAGCTTTGCTGCCAACTGGACCAGTTATTTGACATAATTACTTGCAAGTGCCCAATTGTTCTCTGTCCTGAGTTTGGATGCGATCGTGACTCTAAATCCGAGGCCCACATTTTCTGTATTTGCAAGCGTGAACTGAAGATTCCTGTGATCGAACTGGCATTTGTCAAAGCACAGAGAGAAAAGACTGGCAGTATAGGGGCTCTCATGATTTCTAGCCAAGATATTCCGGAGTCCAAGAGACAGGAGGCTGCCACAGAGAGACAGAAGAGAAGAGTTGCCGAGGAAAAGAGACTTGAGAAGGCCCAGGGTGAGGTAAAAAAGGCCGATGATTGGAGTCAAGCTGATTCAGAGTTTAATGACTTCCCCATGGCTGATCGGAGTGCTGACCAGGAGAATGGTGACTTTATCCCTAACCCAGAAAATAATGATCCCAAACCTTCCAGGCATATGATTCGAAATAGGAAAGATATCTCGAGCATAGCTCTGGCCAGCATGCGACACCACACTGGTCTCAGAGAAACTGCAGAGATAGCAACAGCTGCCTGGATTGACGGTGGTTTGATAACACCTGATGATGTTCACCTGGTGATAGATCATAACAAAGTAAGGAGAGCTCAGGAGAAACTTGTCAGTAACCTAGAAGAGGAGCTTGATAGATATAAAATGGAATCAATTGTTTGTCCTTTGATGGGAGAAAGGATGACACTAAAGTGTTCATGAAAGTTGGAGATTCTGACAAGTTGTTCCCTGCCATGGTGAAGGAGGAACACTACTCCTGCTGCAGTGAACTAGGAGGGAAGTATTTGTGGCATTTCACTCCAGAGAAAAATGACATCAGGAAACCAGCTGAGATAGTGGCAGATAACATTGTGAACTGGCTCAGAGAGAGGAACGTAGACCAGACCCTGCAGGCCATTGAGGACACAGCACCAACACGAACACAGGTAAGGCAAGGGTCATACAGTGGATAGAGCGGAAGATTGGGAGGAAGCTGGTCTGGATTGTTTGTGACCTCCACACCAACGAGTTGCCACTCAGACATCTGATTCAGGAGCTGGATGGCAAGACTCTTTCAAACAACAGATGGTCTGGTCCTCTTGGCAAGATGCTGGACTCTGCCACTGAGTTAGAAATAAATCCGAGCTTTGAAAAAATCACAGTTGGCCCTCCACTCGTTGAGCTTGCACATACTGTCATTGATGACCTGAGTACTGACCAGTACTATGGTTACATGATTTGCAGTGCCATCAAAACTGGGGTCATGCCTGATAGACTTGCTTACCTGCAGATAGGTCCAGTCTCACATTCTAGGTGGCTCACAACGGCTCTCAGGTTCTGCAGAATTTGGGTCGCTCATCATAAACTGAAAGGGAACCAGCTTCACAACCTGAGACTTATTGTCCAATTCATCGTGAGTGTCTACTTGCCAAATTGGTTCAACACCAAGGTCAAGTCATCGTTCTCCGAAGGTCAAGAGCATGTTCTCTTCCAGCTGAGCTCCTGAGGAGTCAGCCAAGAAGGTTGTTCAGATTGTGGAGCAGACTGTGAGGAGATCTTCCTGGTATGCTCATCCTGAGCAGTTCTGCAGACAATGCTCTGCAATGAGATGAGGAGGAGAAGAGTGGCATCAAAAAGATCTTGGATATGAGACTTATGAGAGGATCTGGGCATGACGATCAGTTGGTGACGATTCGCCAGGGGTCAGGAAGACTCCTGAAGTCAATCTAGGTGCCAAAACCCTCACTGATCTCATAGATCTGGATAACATCCAGGCTGGCAGTGAGCCCCCTCTTACCTGCAGCCTCACCAATGTTCAAGTCAGAGCTTTTTTGCTGGACAACCCCATGCATGTCCCTGCCTGGCCCTCGCACACCCAGAGTATAGAGCGTTGTGTACAGCAAGTGAGCGAGGCCAGCAGTCACGTGTACAGCCAGGAGAGGAGGGAAGGCTACATCCGAGCTCAGGTAGTCAGCAGGGAGGTGATGAGTAGAAACAGAAGCAAGAAAGACATGTTCTCTATGGTGTGCAGCAACACCGGGTCGTAGTAGTAAAACCGGTTTTTGTATTTGATGATTTTGTTTTCTAAAGGAATATTAAATTTAATAAATGTGTCAAGATCATTCGTTTCACTATTCTGGATCATTTTCATCCTAATAAATTAACCTGATACATTTACTTTACTTTAAATAAGCTATTTAGTGGTGTTGGTAAAAGGGTGGGAATACTGAATTTTCATAAGATTTCAAGTTAAAATTTACCTAGCAAAAAATGAAAACTTTTCAAATCTGAAGATATCACATGATTCTGCACATAGAACTACATCATTAATACCATGGGCCGATTTTTCAAACTCAAAAAAAAAATTCGCCTCCGTATGACACACCATACTACACTAGTTTACTGCATGCTTTGGAGGCCATCGGTAGTGTGCTCCACACAGGAAGCCAGGACTTGCTCTTTCTAACAAATCTCCATTCCCACCCTTCTCGAGTACGAGTCTGTTGCTGATTCAGTTCACTTGTCGTCCAGATTCCAGCTTATCTACGAATAACGGGATCGTCCAGGCGATTTTCATAGAATTGACGCAGCGAGGACTACTTGGAACACAAGGTTAAATTCCTCTACAGAGTTCTTATCTTGTGTGATGGGCTCAACAAAAGCTCTTGTTGTCTGTTTATTCTCTTCTACGTCAATCTGAGAAAAGAACGATGTCGATAAGGTGTTAATTTGCATAATCGTGACGGCGTCACTACTTTTAATTCTAGTCATTATGTTGCTGCAGCCTGAAGAGTTGCAAAGTCATAGAGTTACCCATTGCTTTTGATGCAGAAATTGCACTTATTCTTCTCCTCGGACATGCAGTGTCGACATCTATTGGATGCAACATCATCTGCAGTACTGCCGTCTTTCTCCTTCTTTCTTGGTCTTTCCAGCTTCTCTGCGTGAACTTAGCATTACATGCTTTGTGCCACTTAGCACGGCACTAAGCAAACTGCGCCTTGTCCATGCCTTCACTAAACTTGGGTAGGATCGGTAGGGTCCCAAACTGCTTTTGTATGCCTCTAAGGGATAAGCGTTGAGAGGAAGCAGAGGAAGGCTGGGAGAAAGGTCGAAGTCTGTTCATCAACTTACAGTACAAGAACGGGAAGGGAGGGAGGGGATAAAGGATGTGGGCGAGGTGTAGAGAGAAGAGATGGTGTATAAGGAACTGTAGTGCAGTATGGGGTAAGAGGGTGCAGTACAGTGTTGTGTAAGGACATTGTAGTGCAGTATGGTGTAAGACAATGTAGTGCAATATGTATGGTGTATAACAGTGTAGTACAGTGCAATGTAAGACAGTGTAGTACAGTTGTGTGTAAGATGATGTAGTACAGTATGTTGTAAGACAGTGAAGTAGAATATGGTGTAAGATAGTGTAAGACAGTGTAGTACAGTATGGTGTAAGATAATGTAGTACAGTATGGTGTAAGACAGTGTAGTTGAGTGCTGTGAAAGACAGTGTAGGACAGTACAGTGTGGTGTAAAATGTAATATTGTACAGTATGGTATAGGGTTTTGTAGTACAGTACAGAGATAGAAACGGGTCGGCGGGTCACGGGTCAGTGGGACACTTGGGAGTGAATTCTAGGAGGGTCAAGGTGAGTCACGGGTCATATGGTCATATGCCTAAGATTTTATAGGTAAAAAAATTCTTGTCGAATTGATAAAAGCCTACTGCTTAGAGAATGGAAATGATTGGCATGAAGGAATGATTTTGTTCTCTTTGGAATCTGGGACAGTAAAAAATTAATTCTTGGGTTTTAGTCCATTTCAGCGTAAGAATTCCATTAAAGGTGTTAAAGGAAACTTGGATTAATATGACCACCTTGCCTATCAAGTAAGTAGAAGAATTCAACACTAAACTTTTAGTCGAATCTGTTGCCGTCATCATTTAATGGACCCCACTCTGTCCAGATAATGATAATTGATCTGAATTGCATAACCAACACCCCGATAAGAAGGAAATCTTCCAGGATTGTGCATGCAAATTTGCTTAAAACCACAATATAAAATTAAATACTTCTGATAATATGACTATACCAGAAGTTATTCTTCCTCTCGAGAATTCCACTATATTAAAAAAAAAACTTGCACCCTCACTGTCCTATTTACCCCAATAACAATAAAATCAATTGACAAACTTATTAAGACGTCTTCCCCAAATTTGTAAAGTCATGCCTGGAGTATGTACCTTGGTGCAGCACATCAAGTTGATTCCTAAAGCTCAACCACTAAAATAAGTACCTAACAGAGTCAACCCACAGAAACAAGTATGCATGAGGGAAGCCGTGGAGTACCTCCTGGTCCACGACCTAATCCAGCCAAGTGACAGTTCATGGGCTTCTCCTCGCCTCCTGGTCCCAAAAGACGACGGGACTGACTGCCTCTGCACAGACTACAGAGCCGTAAATCGTCTCACTGTTGAAGACTCTTCCTGTCCCACGTCTGGACGACATCACTGATATGATAGGAACTGCAACGTACGTTAGCAAGATTGATCTCCTAAGAGGATACTACCAAGTTACTCTCACCCACAACGCTCAAGGCATCTTGGTGGTCGTCACCTTCCAGCGTATGCTGAACAAGATCACTAGAAACATGGAAGAAACCAAGGCCCATTTGGAGGACATCATCGAGTTGGCTGATACCTTGGAAGAACACCTGCGACGTCTACAGCATCTCTTCCAACAACTGCAGCCAACAGGACTCGTCATCAACCAGGCCAAATGTGACTTTGCCCGAGGTACAGTTACATACCTAGGACACATAGTTGGGCAAGGCAAGACGGCTCCTCGCACCCCTAAATTGGATGTCACCTTAAATGTTTCTTCTCCACTAGACAAACGAAGCCTCCGACGATTCTTAGGAATGGCGTGTTTTTAAAGGCGTTTTTGTAAGAACTTTGTATCAGCAGCCAAACCCACCATCAACCTCATCTCTCCAAAGATCCTTTTTACATGGTCGTCTACCAGTCAAGAAACTTTTAAAAGAATCAAGTCTCTCCTGCATCTGCTCCAGTATTGCAGACTGAAAATTTTGTTCAACCCTTCATCTTACGTGTGGACGCCTGTGATTCAGGGACAGGTTATGTCTTATTATAAACAGATCCAGAGACGCAAGTACTTCACCCTGTATGTTACCACTGCACTAAGCTGTTACCTCACCAGAAACATTATTCAACAACACTGGTCAACAGCCAAAATGGTTCACATATGAGATCATGCTCACACAACTAATTTCATATTGCTGAATTCGAATCTGATATTTGTTTTGTTCTATCAGACCAGGTTTTATAAAAAACTCAATAGGTACAAATATTTAATATTCCATCACGTGTCGTGTAAAAGATGAGATTATCTCATGTGACTGTGCTTTCATGACTAATTTCATATTAATGAATATTAATTGTATGTTTCATTCTACCATCAGACCTACTTTCTTAAAGAATAAAAAAAATAGTAAATATAGTAACATTATCGCGTCATGCAAGATACAATTTTAAACCTATCACAGATAAGCTCATAAAAAATTGTACCAAAAAACATAAGTTCAAATCCTTTATAATGACAAAATATGAAGTTCTAAAAGTGCTTCTGAACTTTACTCTTTCTCTTGTACAGCTTGCTCTCTTCTCGTTGCAGTGTCCAGCAATAGTCGCCCATCATGTTAAGACTGAATTGTCCCTGATATCTGCTCTCCATCATGGCGATATCTTGATGAAATCTTTCCCCGTGTTCATCACTAACGTCTCCAAGGTTGCCTGGGAAAAATTCAATATGAGAGTGGAAAAAATGCAATTTCAAGGACATCCTTGCTCCCAATGCATGATAATTCTGAAGCATGGTTGTTACGATTTCTTTGTAGTTGTCAGCACGATAGTTTCCAAGAAAATTCTTTGACACATTGACAAATGAGTCCCATGCTTTTTTCTCCAGTGGGTTCAATGTTTTGGTGAATTCGCTATCATTAACTAGTATACGAATTTGTGGTCCATTCAAGACACCTGCTTTCAACTTGGCTTTCGGAAACCACACCACCTAGTTTCTGAGATAAGTATAGAGTCCCAGCACCGAATTGATCCATAGCTTTGATGAAATTTTTAGCCAAACCGAGCTTTAGATGCAGTGGAGGCAAAAATATCTGTTCTGGATCTACAGGCGGATTGTGAGCACAGTTAAACCTTCCAGGCGCATCTCTTGGTCTTGTCGGCCAATCCTTTCTCACATAGTGCTCTGCATCAGCTCTGCTGTTCGACAAGCACAAAAAGCACATGTGCTTTGTGTAGCCACTCTGAAGGCCCAGTAGTAAACTGATGACTTTGAGATCGCCACATATCTTCCACTGGTGTTTCTCATACTCTATAGCGGCCAACAGAATTTTCATTGTTTCATAGCTCTCAGTCATTTTTGTTGCGTGTGCTATTGGGACAGATGGAAGCCGATTGTCATTGTGTAAAAGAACAGCTTTCAGAGAGTCTTTTCCTGAGTCTATAAACAGCCTCCAATCCTCTGTCTTGTATGTTTCAGACTTGCAGAGTTGTTGCATGAGAGATACTGCGTCCTCGCAATAACAAAGGTTGTTTGCCATCTTGAAAAATGCAGACAGCTGTCTATGTCGGTAACGCGCTGTAGTGATATGCACTCCATCTTCTAGCAGGTTACGCTGCTTTAGTCTGGATCCCAAAACTTCAGCCTTTTCTTTTGACAAGTTTAGGTCCCTGATGAGATCATGAAGCGCTTCTTGAGTAAATAGTTTAGGCCTGGTATTTTCAGAGTCATCCTGGTAGTCGTTTTCCATTGAGGTAGAGGTAGAATCGGAATCACTCAATTCTTGTTCAGTCGGTGGATTTGGGACTGGAAGTTCAGCACTGTGCGGTACTGGTCGGATTGCAGAAGCAATATTGGGGTACTGTACCTTGCCTCGTGTCTTGATTTTTATTCCCTTAATATTTGTGAGACAGAAGTAGCAGTCACTACTGTGGTCTTTAGGTTCACGCCATATCATTGGTACAGCAAACGGCATTCCTGAACTTCGTTTACCACACATCCACTCGCTCAGGTGGTTAACACAAGACTTACAGGCTACATGAGGTGCCCATTTCTTGTCTTGGTCACCCAAATGACATTTGAAGTAACTTTTGTAGTTCAGTCGAACAGCTTTTGTGATTGGTTTCTTGAGGCTACCAGGAGTGAAGGCACCACATATGTAGCAAAAACTGCCAGCACTGTTCACACACTTGCGACGTTCCATGTTTTGTTAATTTCAGAGTAATTACAAATCATGCAGGTGTAGATATGCAATATCATGAATCAGCAAACTGAAACAAACAAAAAAGCACAAATCAGGACAAAATAATTGCATAAGTGGAGCCAATGAGCATATAAATTACTGTATGAATAGCATGGTACACTAAATATATAGATATGCTGGTTCTGGAAAACTGAGCCTGATACAGCTATACGAATGTCATAATTGAGTTCAGCGCATACAATTACACTAGAATCAGACTGTTTTGATCCAGAACCATGAGAATTTTCTTTTATGTTGACCAGTGCACCGGTCAACACAATTTTTCTGGCACAAGGTTTTTAAACGGATTTTAAGTAAATTTTGGGTGCAGAATCCAAATATACTTTGGTTTTTGTCTATCACATCAGGTTTTTGAGATATACCATATTGCACTTTTGCTGGGAAACGTAAACTTTTGGATCAAAATTGACGGTTTAAACATGTATACATAAATTTTTTCAGCATTATAATTTGTATTTTTCTATAACCAAAAATTGTTAATATCAAATTGGAAAGTTAATGCACATATAATATTTAAATGTAACATTGAAGGGTGAAAAAAAACAATTAATGTACGGTAGAAATAGTGCAAGTATTAAGATCAAGTTACAGTTACATAAACTTCCTCTTTTTGGCCGATCTCTTATGTACAGCTTCTGGAATGTCTCTCATCAAACTCCAGCAGTAGTCCGCCATCATGTTCGAGTCCCATCGACCTTGGTAACGTTCTTCCATTACTTTAATGTCTTGATGAAAGCGCTCCCCTTGCTCCTCGCTCACTTCTCCCAGATTTTCTGGAAACTCGTCCAAGTGACTGTGTAAGTAGTGAACCTTGATACTCATTCTGCATCCAAGTGCTTGTAAACTCAAGAGCAGCTCTTCCACAATTTCTTGATAGTTGTCCGCTTTCTTGTTCCCTAAGAAGTTCCGCACCACATTAGAGAAAGCATTCCAAGTTCTTGCCTGTGCCTCAGTCATTGTTGCAAGGAAGTGTGGATCTCTGAGTAGTGTTCTTATTTGAGGTCCATCAAAAATCCCTGCCTTTTTCTTCTCGTCGCTAAGACTTGGAAAGGTTGAGCATATATATCTGAAACACTCTCCACTATGATCAAGAGCCTTGACGAATTGCTTCATGATACCAAGTTTTATGTGCAGAGGAGGAGGGACAATGTTTTTCCTGTCAACCAGAGGATCGTTAATGATATTCTTGTCACCAGGCGTCAAACTATGTCTTGGTGGCCAATTCTTTTTCACCCAATGGTCTGCTGTAGCCCTGCTGTCCCAGTAGCACAGAAAACAGGGGTATTTTGTGTACCCTCCTTGCTGGCCCAATAGAAAGTTTACCATTTTCAAGTCCGCACAAATTAACCATTCATGAGCATGGTGTTGCAACCTCTCTAGAACAGTCTTAATGTTTTCATACTCTTCTTTAATTTGTACAGAATGTCCGATTGGAATTGAACCATACTTGTTTCCGTTATGAAGAAGAACACATTTCAAGCTCCTTTTAGAACTGTCAATAAAAAGTCTCCAATCCTTACTATCATATGCTGGTAGTCCCATGGAGAGAAGAAGTCCTTCTACATCATTACAAAAAACAAGCTGGTCATATGAATGAAAGTACTTCCGCAGTTGCTCTTCTCTGTTGCGATAAAAGGAGACACTCGTGCCAGGTTTAAGAGTCGTTTCTCTTGAAGCCTGGAAGCTAACAATTCAGCAGACTGTTTTGGCAAATTTAGATCTCTGACCAGATCATTCAATTCTGACTGAGTAAACAACGTTGGCTTTTCACAATCTTCACCAGATGGCTTGAAAAGATCAGTCTCTTCATCTTCATCAGTAGAAACAGGTGAATTCCGGTCTATATCCTCAATCTCTGGTAGCTCAGTAAATTCTGGCACGTTACGTGATGGAGCACATCTGAGATCAGATTTGGATTCAGCACCTTAAAGTTAGTAAAAAACAGTTAAAAGGTTTCATGCCAGAAAATTCTTTTTTTTTTTGTAGACCAGTGTTATTAAAAATATCATATACAAGGAATAACAATGTGTTAGTTTTGGAAATTTCATTCATTTACTCAGTTCAGGAACAACAACCGCACTTACAGAGTTGAGTACAAGGTAACTCAGCTTTCAAGCAGAAGCAATGTACTTAACATCTTTTGGTACAACCACACTGCAGGACAGGCTTCCCTTGCAGGCGATAGTGTCATCCATTTAGGCTTTCACACAATTGACACGGAGTCTCTTGTCAATCCAAATTCAACAACGGTTGGTCCCATACATGACTAGCTTCATAGCCAACTTGAAGGAAGTGCTGAGTTAGTGCATCATGCCTTGGTGGTAAGTTTTCAATTTCTCGTCGCTTTTACGTAAACAGAACTTGCCCTGCACTACTGACATCCTTCTCTGAGCTACCCTTGTCATACATTATCACGATATAGTTTTCGATGGATAAAAGAATAGCTGCTATGCTATCTGGTGTTGGAGTTTGGACCAGGACACATATGGCAGTTGTCAGTTCATTGTAAGCTTGCCAAGCAATTCAGGCTGTACGCTTACCCTTTCTTGCATGAAAAGCAGGCAGAGCTGAAC